ACCATGGCGGCAAGGTATTCTGTCATGACTTGAGCTAGCCGAATATGAAGGCCTATGTTCATCTGGATGTGAATATTTCGAACAATGTTTATGATTGTCTTTGTCATGGCAGTCGCGTCCATGACGACAAGGGATTCGCTCATCGCTGCAGCTAGCTAAAGATTCAGATTTGTGTTGACGAGGATGTGAATATTTTGAATAATGATGGGGATCATTTTGATCACGGCATTTAGATCCATGTCGACATATAGTTCGTTGATCACTTCTACTTTCACTATCGTATTCTAATTTTTGATATTCAGAATGAAGTTTCCATAACGATTTAGGAGATGATTCATCTAAGTAGAAAAATTAACATTCATTCTGAAATGACAGGACAATCACTTACGTATATTATCACGCGACATTTGTACTTGTTCATCGTGTGAATATTTTTTTTGATGATTTTGAACATTGTTTGATAATTTTTTGATATTTTTTGCTTCACATAAGTTGTCATATTGTCGACGATTGAATGGGGTAAATGAGCATGGTGGCTGAAACGAATGCCTTTCTTCACTTATAGGTTTTTCATCATGAAGTCCTAAACTAGAATGATCGCAACGACTCATCGGTATACAATGACGAAAGCTTAGACAGTGATCATTTGATCCACGATTATATTCAACACATTGACGACGATATTTACATAGTGGTACGTGCCGATAAACTTTAAGATGTTCATTATCCATGTTTTCACAACGACCACCATCACAGCAAAATTCAGGATGTTCAAATTGGTTTGTGTGCACTAGATCATTTTCAACTAATTCACATTCACCACCGTACAAACACTTGTAACGATGCCTGAACCAAAGCGTATGTTGGCTATCATTTTTCTGTTTACACGGTGGTGTATTATCTGCATACGGGCATAAGGGTGGGTGTGAATATTCACGAGAATGCTGTTCATTTTGCAAGTCATTACAATGTCCTCCATAAAGGCATGGCTCCAAATAACAAATTCTAATATCACTTAATGTTACTTCTTTGATAGTTTTTTGATTTAAAATTCGCCAAGGTCCAATCATCATGTCGACAAGCTTATGCCGTTTTGGTTTCTCCTCTAAATGATCGAGTAATTGTTGAAAAGAAAGAAAGTTTCCAAATGAATTCAGGTACTGGTCTGTACTATGATCGTCAGCAATAGCAAAGTAGATATATTTAAAATATCCAGCATATTGTTCAATAACTGATTTAAATATTGCTGCAACGTGCCTTGGTGGATTTCTAAACGCATCACAACCAAGAGCAGATAGAACAAGACTATCATGTTTTTGATGATGTGCAATAGCAAATATATTTTCAATTTTTTTTCGTGTACCAATAGAATATTTTGAAGTGAGCAGATCATTCTCAATTTTCGGATCTCGATAGGCAGCCATTGCAATAGCACATACATCGCACATAGGTGTTTCCATGAAAGCATAGCCAGTATCTTCAGGTTGCCGAAAAACTGTCAATCCTGATGTATAAATTGCCCCAAACTCATCCATTGGATATAGTACATCGCCTTTGGCTAAAGGTTCTAGTTCACAATTTGAGTTACAGTAGAAGCGAGCTGTTGGTTTCCCATCATCTAATTCAAGATCGAGACTTTGAAAATAATTCGAACGCCGAAAAAGTGTCTCTTCTTGAGCTCCATCACCTCGTTTGTAGCCACCAAGACTGTTTGCATTGACCATATTGAGAACAACTGGTCGACAGCCTTGGTTTAATAAACTCTTGTAAACAATCAAGCAATCTTTATTGACTACTTTAACTGATGTCGATGCATAGGGAAACTCTATTGCATGGGACAATGAAGTTGTCTGACCACGTTGCAATTTTGACTTATGATCGTAGAGAATGGTTTTTAATCGATCCGGTTTTAATTTGATTTCTTTTTTGCCGATATGGTAAAAACCTCTTTTTACTACACCAATCGTATTTAACATTACTGTCATTTGTAATAGACGACATTTGTGGTTGCATGATGTCTCATATTTGTCCGAATCTTTCTCGTCAATATTACAGCCATTCGATATCCAACGACGATATTGTTCTAAAAATGCCTTTGAATTCCATTTAAATCGAAATATAGGATGTTGAGGATTAGAAATAAATGGCATTATATCTGGCTTATAATTGCACATTTCTGTGTCATACCAATTTTCACCATCAATTTCACTATCTTCAGGATAGCTTGAATATGTATAAGCTTCAATACCCAATACATGATCATCAATACGTAAAGCACCTTTAACAATACATTTCTCATAAACATCTCTATCAGAAAGTTCGAGAATTACATGTTCGTTACTGGGCCATGCTTTAACTACAGCTTTAGCAAACATTTCATGATTTTGGATGAGTGATGGCGATATGTCTTTAGGCACGGATCGTACCAAGAGGCGATACGAAAGACTATCCTTCTTCATAAAAACTTGTCCATCTAATAAAATCGAACTATGTAGTGCCCATATACGAGCTCTACCTGATGTTACTACAACAGCATTGGCACCTTCTTTGTTATACTGAATATATACTGACTTTTTTGACATGTATTTACTAGAGATTTGACTACCAATAGCTTCTTTCAATCGATCCAAATTTGTCGTTCTTGGTAAATCTTCAAAGAAAGAGCAAGTAGCTCGAAAATAGACAGTTGCAGAACGATTTTTGATTGAGAACTCTCTAACTGATAAAGCTGTGAGTAGTTCACTTAATGAATGTGTCACTATTCGAAAGATGTTTGGAAATTGAACAGATAATAGTTCACATCGTGGTTGGGATTGTACTTTATATAGATCAACCCATTGTCGGCATACGGCATGAGCTGATGGAAGTTCTTTGATATCCTTTTCATCGATGACAATATATGAGATAAGTTCAAGCTCATCAACAAATGATATGGTTGCATTTTGGGATGGTTCAATTATAATTTTCTCGATGGTATTAATTAAATTATTTTTATCTTCATCATCACGCAAATAGATAATGCCGATGCCTAATTGTGTATCACACTTAATATTGAGTACTTTTTGTTTATGTTTAAGTTCTAAACATTGACGAATCATTTTTTCCAGTAATGAATTACTATCGATATTGGTTGGCAAATCAGGTACATAAACAGTAATAGGTTCATCTTGATGCGACTTTCTTGAAGATGGTGGACCTGAAAATCAATGTTTTTGACTAATTGAATTAATGTGCTTTCTCAAGTTTTCTGAAAGAGTCTTTTTCTTAGAGAAACCATTCTACGTTCAAAACAACATAGTTGAGAATAGTTTGTAATCAAGGAAAAGAACAGTTGATCAATACAGTATTGAAATCTAAGGCACTTCTCACCAACATATCAGTTTATGTACAATATGATTACAAGAAACCTATTCGAACTCGAGTCATGTTTAAGACGTTTACTTCGAAAAAGTGTACTACAGAAAGAAGTCTTTGAGCAGTGAACAGTACTCGATCCCAGTAAGATCCAGGCACGAAAATTTTTTTTACTTCGATTCACATGGTGAAGATGAACTGAATGGACAAAGTCTAGTGTCTGAAGGACAGAGAGCAAAAATCTAGAAATTGTCTAGATATGAAGAACAATGTTCCACGAATCGAATCCAAGTACTATGACTCAAAAGCTCACTTGAAAACTTAAAAATACAATGTAGGTACGAAACTTTCACGAGGTAAATACTTACTTTTAGATGATTTCGTTTGTTTCGCAGCTGTTCCTGTTGTTTGATGATGGCTATCTTCATATGAAGACAAATGTGATCCTTTTTTATCGTCTGATGGAGAAGAAGAACGAAATGAACTTGGTTTTGAAGATTCTTTCGAAGCAACATTCACGTTTGATAGCTTTGTTATGCGTTCACCTGGTTCAGCATCTACTAAGGAGTAAAATTTCAAATTAGAACAACTTGTTAAGTCACGAGTATCACTTTTATTTTTCGATGAAAACGAATATGCTGCAGTGGAATGCACTGCTGGTTTTTCTTCTCCTGATTCATATGGAGGGTGGGTCAGTTCTTGCTTACGACAAGCAGTGCTTGAAACATAATCTGATTGTGATGATGAGGAATGTGATTCTGATTGAAGTCGAATATCGCTTCCTTCATGCGGGTAGTCTCGAGTACCATTGGATGATGTATCGGATGTGAACTTCTTGGCTCCATGTTTATAGCCGTCTACCGGAAATTTATCATCGTCCAAAAGGGAAGAGACAAGCCCTTTCGCTCGCGCTTGCCCGTAGATTGAATCTGAAATAGTAAAAGACAACATTTGAACTAAACTGTCGCTGACAATCACTGATCGTCGCAATCGAGGGTGTGGGTGTGGGTCTTTTATTCAACAACACCAACATTCCGAAGCATTTGAAGACTTTTCAATCTATCATTTCTAGCAGACTAATTGAAATACATGCACCTGATTACACAGCATGATAAATAATACTCGTTTTAGCTTATCTTCAAATGTTGCACTTGAATTCATTACTTACGAAACATATGAGATATGAGTCACTCATATGTAGTGTAGAGCGCTTTCCCGCAATCATGAATTTTTATTTGAAGAATTTCATTTCTATTCGCGTCATGGACTAAGCAACAAAAGCCCATCATAAAAAGTATTGATTTCACTAATGAACACAAACAAGATGCCTTCTCAAAGAGAAGAATATACTCTTCGAATATTATAATGAGCCACATGTAGTCAAAAATCTAGTGTGCAAAATGGCACATATGTTCTCTCATTCCTACAGTTAACTATCAACCAATGAAGCATCAATCCCTTCTCTGACTGCATTATCATCTCACATCTATCTCATTCGATCAAAACAGAACAAGAATAGAAGTGAATTACCTTCAACTTCAATACATTCTTCAATCATTTCGATTAACTCAGAGCTATTCGGTCGATCGTTTGGATTTTTTAACCAACATTGTTCGATCACCATACGAAATGTCGGCGGCGTACTCATGGGTATCTCTAAACGATCGCCATGAAGAACAAATGCACGAATAACATCATTTTCGTAACCAGAATAAGGTCTCTTACATGCAGCTAGCTCCCAGTAGACCATGCCCAAACTGTAAATATCACTCTTATCTGTGTGAGGTTTTATACACAGAATTTCAGGTGCAGTCTATGGCAATGTCATTACCAATGAAGAATTGTCTTTGGTTTGACGTGTTGTTTCTTCGCGTGTTCGAGCTACACCAAAGTCACACACTTTTACACAGTAACCTTCATAGATTCTTTCTAACAAGAAGTTCAGTGATTTGATATCTCGATGTAGGATGGGCTCCGGTAATTTATGTAAGTAGTTAATTCCATTGGCTGCTTGCAAAGCAATCGTTAATCGTTCAGTCCATGTTAATGGAAGTTTATCCTCGTGCACTATCTTGTACAACGATCCAAGCGACATGTATTCCATCACCAAGGCGTAATTTCCTGCTTCCATGCATACACCATAGAAACTGACGATGTATGGACAACGAAGACTGTACAATAATGAAACCTCTTTTGAAAATTCCCTTGTGGCATTAACAGTCAAATTAGTAAGATGTAATTTTTTGACAGCAACTAAATAACGTCTGCTCAACCATGTAGCTTTATTAACTGTCCCAAAGGCACCGCGACCAATTTCCTCATGAAGTTCAAGATCTTTGTCAGATATCAGTAACAAATCAGTGAGCTGTTCTAAATTGTAAAAGTGTATTTTATCATATAAGTTGATGATGCTAATAGCTTAGTTCATAATTGAAAGCTATTTTCCTGATAAAACTAGTGCATAATCAAGTATGATATCGAAAATGAAAAGAACATTTTTGACAAATATAGAAAATTGTAAACTGTCTGCTCTTTTGTTTTGGTACGTTAGTTATCTTATTAGTTCTTTGGAAGGTTCATGGTTCTATATTGATCTTAAGAATATGTACTACTTTGAAATTTAACCAAATTAACTAGTCTAAGTAAGAGAATCGCAGCGCAGTCAGTTCATTTACATGAACTCATTGAATCGTATTCTCTATTGAACACGCGCACTCCTATTTCAAAAAGACTACACGTGCTATGATTTCCTAAGCTCTACTGAACAATTACTTTCAGCAGAATTACTCCCATTCATTTTTGCTTCTGGCTCAGTACTAACACTATTGTTAGTAGATCCAAGAGGTTGCTTAAGAGTAGGTTTATTTTACGAAATCGGTCTAACTTGCTTGTTCAACTATGAAGTGCATAGAGATCTAAACTTCTATTTAGTAACGGAAACTCATCGAAACAACACATTTCTTTGTTGCAATCGCAACTGTTAAGAAAAACGAGTAACAATAGTGGGATACTACGAATTCAACAAGTACTTGTATAGCTAATCTTTTACTTGATTCTATGTTCATCTGAATCAACCATGGTAACAGAATAGTCTTTCTATTAAATATATTCGATTTCGAAATACAACGGTTTCGAACGATGCCCATTTATTATGACAGTCTTTTTTCAGAAGTTTCTTGTTGTATTTCATAGACACAAGAAATATGAACTGAAGACACATCAGCTCAAACCAGAATTCAATAGATTCAAGTCATAGATGAGGACCTCATCCAATATAATAACTCTTTAGGTCACTTGGTACTGTGGATCATGATAGTAGTGACAACACCTGATAGCATTCAGAATAGGTTGAGCCCATTTTATCGATCCTATTGGTACCCTTATATTTGTTTTCTATTTTGTCTTGTAGTCGTAGAGACATGTAGAAGTTTAATGGAAAAAATGTGCTAGGCATTATTTTGCAAATAAAGATTATGCATTTTACCTGAAAAATCATTACAATCTCTGATTTTTTCTTGAGCACCAGAAGCTGAAGTACAGAATAAATATGCATACCACATCTACTAGGCACCTCTCTGAATGAAACGTTGTTGCTAGATGTTATTGCACAGAAAATTCGTTTCAATTAATCTTTCATTGAACACATGAATATAAACTAGCAATTCATTTCGAATTTTCTTACAATTGCTCTGAATATGCTGTAAATATTTCTTTTCGGCTCGAATATCTAAATGCAATGTCTTGTTGCTTTTCTCGTAGCCCAAAACTGAATCAAATATCTCAGCTCTTTGCGATACCTGAGACTTCAGGTCAACTGAGTAATATTCCTAATAAGTCAACGAAATGAGACCTCACATACATTACTTACTTCGTGTTTGATCATATAAGCATATATCCCTCTCTAGTAATCCATCACTCAGAAAAGGAATCTGTTTTGATTTCGATTCTTTCACAACTTCTCGTCTTACATCACGTAGTACCATTTGGATATCTTCATTTGGAGTTTTAATGTGCTTCAAAAGATGTTTTGTAAATAGTCCATTCTGTTGCCCCTTCCCGTCAATGGCTATGCTTCCAGGAGCACAAGCAAAAGCGATCAATGAATTAGCCATGTGCATTGGCTTGAAAGCAGCAGATCTGAAATCATTAGAATCCGAATTGCATGCATCTACATCTATATCACACTTGTGATATAGCCTACAGCAATCCAATAGAAAGATTGTTACAAATGGATTTCGATCACCTAAATCATAGAGAACATTTTGTGCATTAATCGCAATTCCTTTCAGATTGACATTATCTATGTTGGGAATATCTATGGGTAATAAATAATTTTGATCCTGAAATATCATGCATGAAACTCACATTAAAAATCAAACAGTCTTAATATTTAAAATCTGTATACTTACTTCCCACTGTTTCCCATGTCCAGCAAAATAAAATAAGACCATATCATCTGGCTGAATTGAATCTGTGAACTCCAAAAGAGTACGTGTCATCTCAGTAAAGTTTAGATTTAATTTCACTGTGACAATAAAGCCAATCTTCTTCAGCTTAGATGACATGCTATTGGCGTCATTTTCTGGATTAGACAATTGTTCGAGATTTTCATATTTGCCAATTCCAATTACGAGCGCTAACTTGCGTTTTCTTTTACTTGAAGCACCACTTGGATTTTTAGCCATAGTGAATAGTGAACTCAATCTACAAAATGTATAAAGTTTGAGTAGAAATCTTTAGATAGAGAAGGCACACGCCGCAATCGAACACTCTATATTCAAAACGCATACATAAGCCCGATAGAATGTACCTAGTTAGTCATTCGCTTGAACTGAATTTATCGTACAATATATTCATCGTTGTAACTACTTGAAAATACGTATGTAAAGTTGAAGTGTGGATGAGTTGGTGTCGCTGTGAGCAAAGACGCGATTTGATCCGACACCCACACCTAGCTGGATAGCATGTCTATGGTCACGATTTGAGAACATGTTGTGATTTATAAGGGACCTATGAAATCGTACTGTAATGCGAATAGAAGCAATGCAGTCTGTTCTGTTTGTAGAAGAAAATTGTTTCTTACCAGTGAATAGCTTGCAAAAGTTGCAATATGTGTACTTTGTCTGAGCACGTTGTTTTTATAGAGTAAGCGACGAGCAAATTTTTTTTCGCTCTCAAGTACGTCGAAAAGTCTCCGTTTGCATTTTTCTTGGATGTCTTGAACGAAGAAACGCAAAGAAAGCAACCATTGAAGTTGTCATAATTGTTTCCATGGTATTACAACAGCAATGCAAAATACTACATTTCTGTGACATCCTGATGTTAATATTAGCGACAGGATTTTGTTAAAAAAATACAGCGATAAAGTCAACGAGAAATAAAGTTTTCTCTGTTTTAGCGTAGGATATGGGTGTAGGTGGGTGTGGATGAAGATACCGTGTGGATGTAGGCGTGGGTGTGGGTGTGGGATGTAGGTGTGGGGGTAGGTATGGGGTGTTCGCGGATGTGGAAGTGTGGATGACGAAAACATTCAGCTACATATCCATACCCACCCATACCTATATAAAACTCCCGCCCCACCCACACTCACACTCACACTCACGTCCTTAATCATATTTAGCTCATAAATAACATTTCGAAAAAAATTAAAATATCTCCACTATGGTTTATTCAAATGTTTTTTTGTGTCATACAAAGAATCGAAACAAATACTACTGTTGTTGATCTAACTAACAGAGTTCTATTTAAATATTGAAATTCATAATTGATAACTAAAATGCACAATCGAATCCTTTTACGTAATAAATCGTCAACTTTTTTTTCAAAAAATCAATGTTCTATGCTCGAAATATTGAAATCGTAGGTTTGTAAACTAACCAATTCTTAGCATTGATTCAATGTGCGTCAAGTTAATATCATGCAATAAGTTTGTTTTGATTTCTTCTTTTTATTGTCTTTGATGACAACAAATCGAATTTCTTTATTGAGCTCAGCAACAATAATATTTGTTTCACATTGTGCGTGTGAGAAAGAAACCTTGAATAGAATTATATCACTAACCAAAAACTTAGTCTACTTGAATGGACTGAAGCAGAGAGATTTCAATTGTTATTGCAGTCTTATTAATGACCTATCTTATACGTAGGTATCTATTTTCTAGTTACTACATTGTTCTTTATTCATATTATGGATTGCACTGATTCTTTGAGTTTATGACATAGAAATTTTTATAATATCTAGAGTGCATTGCAAGTTATAAATCATGTACCATGCTTTCTTTGTCTTGTACAGAGTGTTCCAAAAGTCGGTTGATAGCCGACTTGTTACTGAGTAGACTTCAGAAAAATACTGATAGATCTATGACGATCGCACACAAGTTTAATGATAAAAAATATACTGGATTCTTGTGATCACAACCTTTATCTATAAGTATCCAACAGATCAGGATAAAAATTCCAGATCTGAATATAGATTGTGACCACACGGATCTAGTGCATTGCATTGAATTTGAACTTCTGCATGGGTTCACCAACACTTACACGCACAGAAGCATTTTCTCACAGAGCATCACCGTACCAATACTTAAGTGTAGTGTGGCCATCATCCACCACATTCAACTTGTTTACCACTGAGTCAGCATCCTATCTGACGATGTTGAACATTAGTACAATCAAGCGAGAGAGAAAATTGATTGCCATAAATCGTTTATTGTATTCAACGTTTCACGATTTCTAGATTTATGAGCTCTTTCTTCTATAAAACTATTAAATATGAAAATCAATACATTTTTTATTGGAAGAAAACATTGAATTGCATGAAAGAAAAAAAATACGTTGAGAGTAGCTGTATCAAGTCAAGATAAAGCGACCAATCAAATTGACTCTTTTGACTCATAAGACAATATTGAACAGTTTATTGTTTTTCCATTTTGCTGCTTAACTTTGGTTCGATGAACTAGTTCGAAGTCGAGCTTGATGGAGATCTAAGAGGCATTTCACAAAAATATCAAAATCTTCTAGAGTACTTCTGTGACTGATGATAGCCACTCGAATATAGATTTGTTTGTGAATATTTGTCGTTGAAACGACTGCAATGCCCGAAAGCTGTATATCAGCAACGAGCTCATTGTTAAATACATCAACGACGTAAGAGTCGGCATCGGCAAATTCTTTCGGCTCAAGTCGAAAATTGACAATGTTCAATGAAATAGGACGAATAATACGAATAAAACTATGTTTCTCCAATAGAGAGACTAAATATTGAGCTTGTTGACAATTATCAGCTATCTTTTGACCTATTTTCACTGTCCCATGCTCTTTAAGTGTAAACCATACTCTTAATGCACGAAACGTACGTGATAGTTCAGGACCATGATCAGAGAACCAAGGCTTGTACCCACTGCAGCCACGCTCAGATGAAGCCAAATATGATTGATTTAATGAAAAGGTCGAGTTAAGATGAGAAACATCACGAATTAAAACACATCCTGCATCATACTGACAATGAAGCCATTTATGAAAGTCGAACGCAAGTGAATCAGCTTGATCAATGCCGGCAACAAGATGACGACGGTTAGGATCGAGTACAACCAAACTACCAAAGGCTCCATCAATATGAAGCCACATGTGCTCTGAATGAGCTATCGACGATAATTCGAGAAGATTGTCAAATGCACCCGTATTAACCGTACCTTAAAAATAAATACACAAAGAGAATCTCTCATTGCATCTCGAAAATAACAAACAGACATAAATACCTGCATTTCCGATGATACAAAATGGAGTCAAGCCCTTTTCTCGGTCTTCTCGTATTGCTTTCTTCAGTTCATCAATATTGATGCAAAAGTTTTCATCAACAGAAATAAAATGCATGGCCTTTGATCCAAGTCCCAATAGTTCAAGTGCCCTGATAACACATATGTGTGTCTCGGTTGATGCATAAGCAACCAATTGTGTCCCATTGACCAGTCCATCTTGTCTAACATTGAATAATGCATGATGACGAGCTGCTGCCATACTAATTATTGTTGCCATTGATGTTCCACTAACTACAAGACCAGCGGTAGTCTTTGGTGGAAAATTAAACAGTTGACGCATCCATTCAATAACAGTTCTTTCAACAAGGATAGCGCTTTGAGTGCCACCACTACTAGTTGTATTCATTGCTGATGCAATTATATCGGCGAGTAAACTGCCGAAGGTGCCTTCACCACTTGCCCATCCCCAAAAACGAGGGTGTGAATGACCGATAGAATAGGGTAAAATGTACTTGAGCATATCTTGAGAAATGTCTGACATAGGCCGACCGTATTCTGGAAGTGCGTCATGTTCAAGTGCCGTACGAACATCAACTGGAACAGGTTGCCAAGCAGGATGATCTCTTATATTTTGAATAAAGTCCAATGATGAATCGAGTATGCTATGTGCTAAACGTCGAGCTGATGGCCAATTGACAGGATCGAAAGATAAATGCTGGTCGGTAGTCTGAAGCAAAGAAGAAGAAGAAGAAGAAGAAGAAGGTAACTTTAATTCAGCTATTGAATCGATGAGAGAAAACATTTGTGCCTTCCATTGCTTCAACGATTCGATGTTGTGTACAGATTCATGTAGTTTGCTTGTTGCTTGCTCGGTTAATTTGTTCAGTTCAGTGAAATTCATTATATCTACAAAGTTTGAAAAATATTCGATTATGCAATTGTACCAATAATCAATAATGATATCGGACAAAAAGAACTTTCATGATTTGACTTTAGAACTGCGACACTAGTCAAATTTTATTATTTGCATTGGATATGTCAGCGTCCAAACTGAGATTACGTCCAATCTCATATTGGCCTAGGCGAATGTCGGATCCGAGATTGGACGCGTCCAATCTCGGATTAACACAATTCTATTCATTAAAACATCAATTACCCTTTAGACAGACCTTGGATTCGAACTATTTTTTGAAATTATGTTCACACAATGCCGTTTTAAGTATTACAAGCATTTAGGAAGAAGCTAAATTTAGACTCAAAAATGTAATAAAAGTTTTTCACAAAAGTTCTTCTTCTCTAGAAATTTATTCATAACTCCTAAAATTTTATTCAAATTTGTCAAATGACAATTGTGCCAAACAAAGTGGCATCGTTGTGAACATAACTCAAAAAAAATAGTTCGAATCCAAGGTCTGTCTACAGGGTAATTGATATTTTAATGAACAGAATTGCGTCAATCCGAGATTGGACGCATCCAATCTCGGATCCGACATTCGCCTAGGCCAATCTGAGATTGGACGTAATCTCAGTTTGGACGCTGACAGATATATGTATCTGCATTAACGATGTTGGGAAATTTGTATATTGAACTTTTAGTGTTTCCGCTTGTGTTAGTCAAAGCTAGGCTGACTACCCTTTTGAATATTTCTTAGATTCTTTAAATATTTATTTTGACATGTTTTCGAAAAAAGCCCAAGGTAATGGAATTTTTCATTTCCTCTACCAATTGACAGAATAACAAAAAAATTGAACAAGATTAGCTATTCAAATACTGCATTATATACACTCAGACGTCGAATTCTTACTGTTTATCTCTGATTAGGTTGACGTTGCTGACAATGTCTGCATAATAATGCAATAATCTTATTGTGACAATGTTTAAAATACTATTCGGAAGAATTTGAAAACGAAATGAATTTTCGATACAGAATGAAAATTTTAGATTCAGTATGAAGTATATAGTTCTTGATTGCAATGAAACTAACGTATGAAGCTAGCAAAATCAATGGAAAGCATGATATAAGCTATATTGTCTAGGCTATTAACATGTAAATGTTGGTACACTGTTTACAGTAGTGTACGATATTTTCTTGCTTAAAAACATTGAAGTAGTCATGTTTTCAGTAGAATCGGTGAACTTGATCTTTTTCATGGATGTATAATTGAAAGCATGGCACTATCGTTACTACAATTCAAATCAATGTATTATTTATAATAGAATTAATTGTTATAATTTCTAAAAGATTAGTCATTCATGTTCTCATAATAAAAGTTCAATCACTATTCTACTGAATTTTCATCCTATCTTTTGATTGTTTAACAAAAACTCAATTGTCAGAATTTCAACATCATTTGAAAGAAACTCGTATCTCATTAAGTAAAGTTTTGGAACAAGTTAATATGGTGTGAACATATTTTAGCTCGAATGATAATGTAATCTTGTTTTACCTAAAATTCCTATATTTTTCAATGATGAGATCCTTTTGAATTCCTGCATTTTAAAAAATCTTTCAAAACATTATCTACAGAATTAAAATGTGAAATACGATGCAAATATTTCATATACACATCAAGATACTTCTTGTTTTATCACACTTCGTGTCAAGTTTCAAGATGCATAATCGTCAAGTGTTTGTGACTATCTGTATTCGAGTGTAATACAGTGCACTGTGTAAGAGAAAAGTAGAATTACTGTTCTCGATATTTCAAGTCCATTAAAAGACGTTAATCGCTTGGAATTACTGTAGTCTGAGATCAAAAATTTTACAATGTCACGATTTAAAAGACCACGATACTGTGATCCGAAATTCTATAAAAGGATATAGAAGCGTCTGTCACGTTCTGCAGGACAAGAAGGCTCACTTTTCTCGCTCTAATGACAAAAATGCAACCCAACACCAGTATATATGGATCCCTTTTCTATTTGTCAAATACCATTCCGTAGTAGCCATTTTTGTCGTAGAACTGATTTTGACATCGTATTCACTACGTTGCAGCACCTGTCATTACTTACACATCGGTTGCCACTTTTTCTTTTAGGCTCCGAAGTCGATTTCAAAAGAAATACAGCTATGGCGAAGTCACTAAGTGCAAAGACCTTCAAAACTCTGATCACAGTCATTTAGTTGAAATCGAACATTTATTGTGATTTGACAGCATTAGATAGATGTAAAGTTTTACCCTCTATTCTAAAGAAAAAATATGCCAGCCGCACATACTTATCAATGTTTGAAAAGAAACTATTCTATTTAATTAATATCAGTCTTATCTGAACTGTCTTCGAAAGTATTTCAAAATCAGACAGTTCCAGATGATTCTTCGAGCGATTAACAACAATGTCTAACCTATGTTGTCTAGAAAGCATCAATTTTCGATTTCGAGCAGTATCAGACGAAGTGGTGCTTAAATGCTCGTTGAAAAAAAATATTGAAATCGTTGCAGAGCTTTCGTAGATTGTGGTACTCACGTAGTCACACAAGCCAAAATATGTGTAAATGCATCAAAAAGGAACAAAATGACATTTTTCGCTCAAAATCACGGTTCCCAATGATGAGTGAAAGACGAACAGTTTGTTTCTTTTTTGAATGGGTTTGTACGAGTTTTCAGAAGCTTGTGACGACATGGTTGTGTAGAAAATTGTTGTTAGTTTTCATGAGAACTACACGTTCTATTCTATCTCCGATAATGCCCTTATTCTTATTGGGCTGATAAAATTCTACCAAAAAAAGGGTTAAATAAATGGCCTTGCTTTACTTTCTGTTGGTATTGGAGCTGTATCAAGTTTTAGTCCTGAGTACTTTTTTTTCAAAATTTTTTCACTATTTTAGAGACGAGAAAAATTTACACAACGTATGTAAAGATTAGCTTGAAATCCACTAATATAACTACACAGTAGTTGATATACTGCTGAAATCAATCCTTTTGATAGGTTAAAATCTCCAGTTTCCTCATGCACTCTTGAATTGATAATAATTCGTGATCCCTGTTGTTTCTTCATTTAAAATCCAGCATTTCTATCAAACAAAGATTTATTCAGTGCAGTGTAGCTATCTTGACTAATAAATATCTATTGGAATGAAAATGAAGAATTTTAAATGAATGCATAACAAGAATCAAGATTTATCCGTAATTCAAGAGCGCTCGGAGACTTTCAGTTCATCCTGTTTATATATACAACACAGTATTTCAATACTTAATATTGGCTAGTTTCTTTCAGTTTACCTTCTCTAATAAATATACTGAATGAAAAACTTCGTTGACCTGCTTCTCACATAGATTGTTTGACGTTTCATATGTATTTTTTTCATATATTTACTTGAAACTCGAGTTATTTGGCTTCTTCATATCATAAATCGCACCTACATACACATGTTTCTAAGTTTTATATACACAATCATCAAAACTAAGCAAGTATAATAATATAACGGTATGAAATGTAATACTACAAGATAAGGATAAAACTTAGAATAAGAGTAAAGTGTACCCATGTAAAAGAAGATTAAAACAAGAACGGATAGGAACGCGTTTTTGAAATAAAAAAATGCGTTGTTAAGACGCTTTTGTCATTATTTTAGAACGCATTTTGATTATCAAAAACGCGTTTTTCTTATGCAAAAGAAACGCGTTCTGATGAGCTGAGAACGTTGTTTCAGAAGAACAGTTCTAAAACAATAAAACGCATCTTAAAAGAACGTTGGAAAGGATTTCAGGACGCATTTTGAAGGAACGTTAAAATCATGTGAATAATAGGTTCAAGAGGAACGCGTTTTTTCAAGTTTAAATGCGTTCTGTTGTTGATTAAAAAAAATTATTTTTTCTTGCCTTTATCATTTTTCTCAAGCACTCTGTTTCATTCTAAATTGAATTTCATTTCTTGTGCAATGCGTTTTTGTATCGACAAATTCCAGGTTAATTTTCAGGAACGCGTTTTGATACGTTGTTGATTGCTGTAACGTAGATTCGATCACACATCCTTGGAAATACGAAGCAGTCGACTTACCATTTGGCTAAACTTACGTATATCTTGAGTGTTAAACTTTCTATTTATATTAAAAAAACTAGTGGGAATATTCATTACAACTTGTACTGAGAGACGCGAATGTCTAATTCTAGTTGAAATAAAACTGAGCACTATAAAATTGAAAGATGTATTACCTTATTAACTTTTTAAAAATTTTCTAATTAAAATTGTAAAAAAAATTTAAAACAAAACTGTAAAAAATAATTAAAATAGAAATTGTAAAAAAAATTAAATAAACTTCTTTTCGAGATGAAAAATAAAATTGTTAAGTCAAAATTATAAAAAGAAACTACTTATAAAAGTCTGTATAATTCGACTTTTGATATTCCAATTCAAATTTAGACAATTTTTTTTGGACAAAATCGTTTATTCAATGAAAATTCATGTATTACTATATTTTTCTAGTGCATACCTAGATCAATACATTCAAGTGCACTTTAAAGTTTTTGTGATTCAGCTGAATCAATTTGTACTCATAAAGTTAATGCTGTTCAGCAAATCGCTGACCTAAATCATGCTTGCAATAATAATAGGAAATAAGTATATAATGTCTCGTAACTGAGTGTCCTCCGGAGTTTTAAAATTTATTTTTCCTTCGATGTTGACCCGTTGAGTTTTAATTGAAAGTTGAATGTGAACTGTACAGTCAATGCTCCTATTAAGAACAGTTTTTTAATGCTTAAAAGTTTTATTATTTTTCTCGGCTACCATACATATAAAACATATATTTTTATATACACCAGTAAAGAAAAATTTTCTGAGTCGAATGATGTAAAAATCATCTCAGTATTTCAAAGATTGACTGAGCAATTAGCGCTGTTCAAGACTAATTGAATTTGTTCTTATTTGGAGCTATGTTCGTAATTAGAACAACAAGTGAA